ATATATATATAATATCTATGTGTGTGTCTGATGGATTAATCCATGTGTGTGATGAAGGCACTGGGGCCATGCCGCTACCGATGAGGTAGTTACCCGGTCACCTATGATCGATGTACTCCCATGTGTTGGGCGCTTGTAGATAAGACACCAGAAGCCACTGATGCCATTTTTCATGCCGTCATTACTCCTGCCCGTTGGGAAAAAGAGCGGCTTCACATCACTTCACCTGCGACTTTCTAATTTTAGCTCGGCTTACTGCAATGTCTTCTATTAATTAACAGAAAGCAGAACGCTTCAGTTTTCTATTAAGACATGCCTTTTAAGCTGTTACTGGATCAATAAGTAGGGCACGGACAAGCCTGAGTACTTCTTCACTGAAACGCACACGGGAATGGAGAATCTAGGAACACAAAACTTCCATGAAAGGTTACACTGTGTAACTGGAATGGAGAGGATTGCAGTTTTTTCTTTTTTTTTTTTGCATTGTTTCAGTAACTGACAGGTTTGCACATCCTTGGCAACAGATATGTCAGGTTATATGGGAAAGAAGGCAGAGAAGTGTCATCGGATAGGGATTGGAAAGATAATCCACATTTATAAAGTGTGCTGTAATGAACCTCCGGAATGACCATGCTGTAGTTTTTCATCCCGGGGTTTGCTTGAGCACACCAGATTACCCCGCTGTATAAAATATTCTGGTCTGCAGTAACCTAGTGGCCTGGGAACACCTGCTCCTAGGCCTATTATTTTGCAAGCAAGGGATTCTCATCCCTACCCATCCATGTCCCTCTGCGATTATTGAGAAATTATCCACATACCTTGTGCAGATTGCAGGGAGTACTGTATGCAGAGAAATGTAAACTTCGTAGACCTTTTACTAACTGCAAAAAATAAATTATTAATATGTTACTATATGAAATGGGGGTAGGCAAGCTTTGCACTCCCAAGTGTTGTGGAACTACAGGTCCCATGAGGCATTGCAAGATGGACAGCCAAAGGTGTGGTACCCAGGGGCAAGGTGGGATTTATAGCTTTGTCACAGCTTGAGTGCCGAGGTTGCCTAACGCTGATATAAAGGAACAGCATAACTGAATTAGGAATCAGTTATACGGAATTCGGAAGCCGGGTGGTGGGTAATGACCCCCCTCTCGGCTTCCTGATTGGCCCGGGAAGCCAGCTCCATGCTGTTTGGCAAGCTCAATGCTGATTTGGCCGGGAATCAACATTAAGCCAGACAAACAGCATGGAGTTGGCTTTCCGGCCAATCAGGAAGCCGGCAGCGGGTAATGACCAGCCTACGAACATTCTGATTGGCTGAGAAGCCGGCTTTCCAGCCAAACAGCATTGAGCCAGCCAAACAGCATGGAGCCGGCTTCCTGGCCAATCATCGAATCTGCTTCCTGGCCAATCATCGAATCTGCAGATAATGACCCGCCACCTGGCTTCCTGACTGGTCGGGAAGTACCGGTATTCGGTATCGTTGAGTACCAAAAGATAAATATCGGTACTCAATGCCAAAAAAAACGGTATCGGTGCATCCCTAATTATTTCAAAGATCATTAAAATAAATACGCCATCGAGTATATTAATAAAGCCTATACGGATGACATTCAGACAGCACTAGCGCCCCTAGATGGCGCTGAGGAGTGTAGGATTTCGATACTCCCATTCTATAGGATTTCTATTATTAGTATTATACAGGATTTATATAGCGCCAACAGTTTGCGCAGCGCTTTACAATATAAGAAGGACATTACAATCACAATACAATTCAAGACAAGATGGTAAGGAGGGCTCTGCCCCTGAGGGCTTAGGAGGTTTCTATATTCCTCATCGCCATCTAGGGGCGCTAGTGCCATATATGCTGTGCGGAAGATTTATAAATGAACCTGTAAGTCAATTTTATGTGTCATTTGTTCAAGTACATCCCTTGTCTTCCACATGCATATAAGTGTTGGAGGCATGGGGACCTAATAAAGAGTGAAGACAGGGTTGTTGATCTGAAATCACATTATGTGAAGGGTCCTTCTTTAATCCCGAGCCTCAGTGGAATGTAACTCGTTTAGCCGTAATGATCGCCGTATCCCAAGGAGCGGTCTTGTCGTGTCAGAAATTAGTTGTCACATATCCAATCCCCCCAAGTCTCTGCTATTTTAATTGCTTTAGTGCACGGTGCTGAATCAGCAGCCCCGAGTAGTCTTCGCTGTAAGATCTCATTTGATTTAAGTAACTATTATCCTAGAGGAGCCATATGTGCCAGCGCACACGCATACACATGCAGAGTGCTGAGCTGTTTACAAGTGGCAGTTCAGAGGAAGCGTCTCTCTTTCTTGTGGTGTTATGCTGTGCTGGTCAGTTTTCCATTGTCACTGTTTCTTGTCTGTGTTTTATATTCAGTTTGGCTCACTGCTTTTTATGAGATTGGCGTGACGGTTCTATACAGATAAAGTCCAAATCCCATTCGCACTGCCACGGTCTCAAAACCACAAGGTATATGTGGTGACCAGGTGACCACACGGATGGCGCCGTGCAAAACACTAATAGTAAATAAAAGTAATTCACCGACACACACTTGAAGGGTTTTTAAAGTATTGATATGTTTATTCAATACCCAATGTCACATACTGTCATACGGTGCTAACGTTTCGGGTCCACACAGGGATCCTTCATCACTGTCGCTCTGATGAAGGATCCCTGTGACATTGGGTATTGAATAAACATATCAATACTTTAAAAACCCTTCAAGTGTGTGCAGGTGAATTACTTTTATTTAGGTTCTATATAGATGTGAGGGGAAATATTATCATTATACTTTGCACATGGGTATTGCCATTAGACCTAGACTCCGGGTAGAATTTTTCCTAACCCCCCCCAAGTGGGGCTACCCCCGAAATGTAAGGGTTAGGAGCTTTTTTCTGTCTAGGTGGTAAAAAATAGGGATGCACCGATACCACTTTTTTAAGACCGAGTACGAGTACCGATACTTTTGATCAAGTACTCGCAGATACCAATTACCGATACTTTTTCTTAAAGGGACAGGTCACATTTTTTCTAAAGCAATACAAACTAATGCTTTAAGGTCACTTTCTTAATATTATGATTCATGAGATGACGAGGGAGCATGACGCCAGCTTCCCGGGCCAATCAGAATGCCGGGCGCTGCGTCATTACATGATACTCGACTTCCTGATTGGCCAGGAAGTCGGCTCCATGCTCTCTCATCACAAGTGACGAGAGAGCATGGAGCCATTTCCTGGCTAATCAGGAAACCGGGCAGCGTGTAATGATGCTCTGCCTGGCTTCCTGATACAGGAAGTACTCGTGCTAGGTATCGGAGCATTTGGGCGAGTACGAGTACTAACCCAAATACTCGGTACCGATACCGATATCGGTATCGGTGCATCCCTAGTAAAAAAATAAATAATAAAAAAAAAAGTTTTATATTCACCCAAAACGCAGAGCTGGCTGGCATATTTAGAGGAACAAAACTGCCTATAGCAAAAAAAATAAATCAGGACTGACCCTTAAAATGAAGAAAATTTAGCATCAGTGCGATTAGTAGCCAGTTGTCTGAAAAAGGAGACTCGCTATCAGTAACTGACAGTTCTTATTAAAGGCACTTTGATCAATGAAGTTCATAGCCGTTATCCCTCGTTATCAGTCACCGGGCTTCATCTGCTGCTTCCATTTTGTCTCGGAAGGAAGCATAAAAATACATCTAGACCCAATCCCTCCTCTGTGGTTATACATGTTTTTTAGGAAATGGCTAAAGTGAGAATATTATTATTATTATTATTGTATATGTTAGTGGAGAGGAGCTTTGCTCAGGAAAGGTCACCCAGACCCTGATGGAACTATATTCAGCCTCAGAATCCATTTCCTGAGTTATATTGATAGGAGACATTTCAACCTAACACTTCACCTTCTGAGTAGAGGGACGGCTCTGCGGAATGACATGGAAACCTGAAGCCGTGATTGCTCATGCGGCAATTTCCTGACGTCTGCCCCTCGCCGCAGCTATTTGGTGATTCTCATGTGTATTTGTTTTTTTTTTTTTGTGTTCCAGCGCTCATAAATCTGTTGAAGTTCCTCATGTCCTACGAGACTGTTCTGCTATCAAAACACAACATTTTTACATTGGCTCTGATGGTACGTATTTTTGTGACGTTAAAGCGGACCTGTCATTAAAGAGGACGTAAACCCCACATGAATGACTTTTAGATGAATTACAGAATTTAGTTTTAGGGTACAAAAAGGTTCATGCAAATATATTTCTAAATAGCCATAATGGATGTGAATCCACTCTGTGAGTACCAAATGCCTTTGCAATCCTAGAAATGACATTGTAAAAGTAGCAGTGACATCATCCCTGTGCTGTTCATAGCCTTTGCAGAGAGCAGAGGGGCCCACTACTGAAGGGGGCAGAGACAAGACCATAAAATAAAAGTAGAAACCCCTGGAACTCCAAAATTCCTTGGGTCAAGTCTCCTTTATTGACATGATCAAGGTGGTCTCACAGTGTGTGTATAGCAACATTTCGGAACACTATCCTGTTCCTTCCTCAGGCAAGCAAAGTCACAGCTGACTCTGGCTCTAGAGAGGCAAAGCCAGCTGTCAATCGGGTAGCAGGATGGATCCTGACAGTATTGTTGGGATCCATCATGGCTGCAGCACGGCTCTGCACTATCGGCATATAGCGGGCAATAACAAAGTATAATTAAACACTCTTTTTTTTTTGCATATATCTACTGATAGCAAGCAGTAGATATATGCAAAAACATTAAAAGAAAGTTACCAAAAAGGTAATTACTTACCTTTTTTGTCACCGCCGCTCGCTCCCGTTTGAAGATCTGAAGATTCTCGAGCGGCCGAGCAGGTCGATGGGGCGGGCACATGCGCAGTAGAGATCTTCGGTGTGGAGAAGAGGAGAGACACAGCTGAGGTAAATGCACGCGCATTCACTTCACATCACCTCACTTGAGCGTGCACATCGAACAGACACCATGGGGCCCAAGTAGTCTGCGCTGGATCAGAGACCAGCACCAACGCTGGAGGGATTGCTGAATACAAGTGGAGGAAAGAAGATGATCGGATCAAGAGGCATCATTTAAAGTGACATTAAACCCTCAGATTTTTTAACATAAACCAATACTGTAATGTGCGCCTTACTGTAATCCATGGTAGTTTCCCTTCTCTTTGCTGCTCTTCCTTTTAAATCCTCATGTCTTCTCATGCTTGGGGAGAACTTCCCTTTTCAGCTCAGGGCCTCTTCCTGTAGTGCTGGCTCAGGTTACAAGCCTATAGAAACCGATACACAGACACCGTGTATCCATTCCTGAGACAAGGCAGTCTGCTGCAAAACAGAAGGTCTGCAGAGCATGAGAACAGATACAGATTTAAAAGGAAGAGCAGCAAATTGAAGGGAAACAACCATGGATTACAGTAAGGCGCACATTACAGTATTGTTTTATGTTAAAAAATCTGAGGGTTTAATGTCACTTTAAGGTAAGTCCTTAAAGCAGCAAGGGAGGGAGGGGGGGAAAACAATGTGTGACTTTAATGTCACTTTAATGTCCTTCTGTGACTCCTAAAAAGAACTATGGCCAAGAAAGGTATGGCCATAGTTCTTTTTAAATGTGCATAAAAAATGACCTTGTAGCCTCCACCAAAAGCCCATGTTTCAAAAAAGTGTGTTGGAGGAGCTTAGGATCCTCTGATTGATGAGAAATAGGCTTAGTATGCTGACAGGCAGCTCTCTATTAGCAGGGTTATCCTGCATTAAAGTGTCTTAAAGCTGACTTTTACACTCAAAAATCAAATTCTACCAATGCATCCCTCTATGTATGATGATTAATAATAACATAGACATGTCAGGTGTGAAATGCTGTGATTGGGAAATACTTACATATGCAGATCATTCACTTCCTGCTTTGAAAGGGCAAAATGACTTCAGTTTGGCAAAGCAATACACACTGGGATTGCCTTGTCATCAGCAGAGCATTGCTGGGAAATCTCATCTGTAATCTCAGCAGATCTCACGGAAAGGCATTTTCTTCCCCTGAGATGAAGTGCATGGTCACATGTCCTAGTCACATGTGCCAGAAATCCAGAAGGTAAAAGGAGATCTAGTAATCTGCCCCCAGTTAACATGGCCACTGTCAGAAGACTGGGGAAGAAAAGAGAAATAAGGAATGCAAAGAATACAAAGCCGACAATTATCTAGAAGTATGTGTGTAGATTGTCAGTACTAAACTTTTCTAAATGTGTTTTTTTGTTATTTTAAAAATATGGGTAAAGGTCCGCTTTAAAGAGACACTGTTGTTTTGCTTATTGAGGGCAAATTGGCAGTATCTGGGGATTAGGGCTGCAACAACTAATCGACATAATCGATTATAATCGATTATTGAAAAAGTTGTCAACTTTTTCAATAATCGATTAATCGAGGGATAGCCCTCCCACCCTTCCCCAGTGATCTATAGTAATTGACCTACACTCCCTTGCACCAGTGTTGCATTGTGTAGGAGCTTACCCGAGTGGATAACATCACTGCCTCCCCACCGTGCCAATGCTGGGCCAGACATTTGGACGCTCAGGCCTAAGCTCTATCACATGGAGGAAGTCACGTGCTTGTTCCATAACCAGAGGCTTTGCTCTCTGAAATATATGGAGCAAGGAGGCAATGATGGAGTGCACCTTGATGATAAATAATCTGCGCTAGTGGAAGCAAATAAATGGCATCAAAAAGGGTTTAAAGCTGCTACACTGAGGCTGTCTAGCCCCAATATATCATAAATATAACTGTACAGCGCTCAAAACCTTCCTATATAGTGCATATAAAGTGCCTAAATAGATATTAGTATAAATAAATGTGCAAAAAATAAATATATAAATAAATATAAAGATGTGCAAAAACGGTGAGAAATATGGGACTGATAGAGATAAATCACACCATAAAAATTGATAAAAGCCATATGATCAGTCCAATAAAACAGTCCAATCCAATATACTGTATACCCTGCTGGGGTTGGGGGACGGAGGGATGTCCGCGGACACTGTGACTTTGCCCTGGATTGGCAGAGGTGACAGAACCTCTTTAATAGGGAATGACTTTTCACAGTCCATGCATCATTTATACAGTCGGCTATTTTCTTCTGTCGCCCAGAGGAACGACTCAACTGCAGGAAAGTGAAATCTCATTTTATTACGCTCTGAAATGTTATTCGAATTTCCCCTTTGAAATGCTCGTAGTATTACTGCAGAATATGAAAGTCTATAATGATGTTCAAGTGTTTATTCTTATGATCTGCTATAGTGTTGCCGCATTTTACTTCCTGGATGATAAAGTGATCTTTTCTATTTCCTTTCTCAGGTAGTCAATTTGTTCAACATGTTTATCACCTACGGAGATACCTTCCTCCCAACCCCCGGCAGCTACGACGAGCTCTACTATGAAATCATCCGTATGCATCAGATCTTTGACAATCTCTACTCTATGGGTAAGGACTTCAGAAGGCTTTGCTTTGCTGGACAAAGAGAACCTGTCACTATAGCATAGAGAACAAGCTGGCTCTGGAATAAGCAAATCTGGTCTAAATACAAGAGCCTTATGTATATTACTTGAATCTTGGTGAGCTTTGTGTATGTCTTGCAGATCTGTGCAGTAATCCAGTGTGAGACTTGGAACTTCCTGTAATAAAGACTGCTCACTGCTGCTCTCTCTCCCTATGCAGGGTGACTGGTCTTGTCTCTGCCCCCTCCTGTAATAAAGACCGCTCATTGCTGCTCTCTCCTTGTGCAGGGTGACTGGTCTCGTCTCCGCCCCCTCCTATAATAAAGACTAGTCACTGCTGCTCTCTCTCCTTGTGCAGGGTGACTGGTCTTGTCTCCGCCCCCTCCTATTATAAAAACCGGTCTCTGCTGCTCTCACTCCTTGTGCAGGGTGACCGGTCTTGTCTCCGCCCCCTCCTGTAGTAAAGACCGCTCACTGCTGCTCTCACTCCTTGTGCAGGGTGACCGATCTTGTCTCCGACCCATCCTGTAGTTTTCTGCTGCCAGCCTTTAGTGGCTTGGGCTTGCTGGGTTCCTCCCATAGCTCCGCTCTTTGTATAAGCTATGTGCAGCACACTGATAATGTCATTACTACTTTTACAAGGTAATAATCTGGGTTTGCAAAGGCATTTGTTGCCCACAAAGTGGATTTAAATTATTTGTGGCTATCTCTTTAAATGGAATTTTTTTGTGCATGGAATTCAGCTTTAAAGTGACCATGCCATGAGAAAAGTACAGAGGATGTCATTGGTCATGAAATTGCTAATTGCATAGCTGTGTCTGGCATCTATCATTTGGAGTTGCAGGCCCGGTAGTACAATGGCTGTAATTGAGCGTCAGAGTTTCTTATGTCTATCAATGATCCAGGTCAGAGACTCCGGCAGCACGAAAGCCAATGCATCAGCATGAGTAACCTTCTCAAAAGAGAGGTCAACAATGGCAGCCCCTCTATTTTTCTGGTAACAGGGTCACTTTAAAGTATATCTAAAGCCAGTAGTTTAGTTTTGGATAGGGTTGGCTGTCTCCGTCCCATTGCACAGATTTCCCTTCACTTCCTCCCCTTGAGGGAAATGAAAGGAAATCTCTCCACAGTGAGGGGAATCGCCTCTCACACAATCGTCAAAAAGGTGTCCTTGTTGCCAGATTTCCCCTCACCTGCTGTTCTGGTGACAGCTGCAGTTTTGGATTTGCCATCACTTTCCATCCCATTGACAGTGAAAACCAGGACCAATAGAAAAGTTGCCTGATCACTTCTGCGGGCTGCCAAATGTGCGCTGTTCGCTGGTCTCCTTCTTGCTGGATGAACTCGGAAGCGACTATGATTTCACCACTTCTGCTTTCAGAGCTGTCATTCCCCGGCCACCGAGGCACAATCTCTGCAGAGATATTATGGCAGGGGTGAGCTATTCCTGCCCTCCAGCTGTTGTGGAACTACAAGTCCCATGAGGCATTGCAAGACTGACAGTTACAGGCATATTGGGATTTGTAGTTAAAGCATAGCTGGAGGTAGCCACCGCTGTAATAGACCCCTAATGTCTCCTTTAAAGAGAACCTGACACCACTAAAGGGCTTTTTAACCTCTCGTATGGTTACTCCTATTGCCCTCCATATCGCTATGGTGTCCTGTCGTAATGCGGAGGTCGGAAAGTACCACCACCTGCAGCAGGGGACCACAATATCAATGCTCCCAGAAGTTTTCGTTTCTCAGCAGACCTCAGAGGAAGATATCTATACAGCAGGGCAGCAATTTCCTGACAGGGTTGCTCCAAGAATATAAAAATCCAAATCATTTACCACCAGGTGAACATAAAGCAAAAGAAAGCTAACGCAGCCGCCATATTGAAGGACCGCCAAGCTGCAGTTTATTACTTTGTTCTTGGGTCTAACCAAATTTTCCGCCTCCCAAAGTGCACGCAGCAGTCTCACATTAAGCAATGTCGCCCACAGCCCCTCTGAACATAACAAATCACCCAGCCATTAAGCCAGCCATCCGAACAATGAGATATTGACCGGCATCTGTCTGAACAGCCTGATAAAGTTGGGCTTGCAGCGTCCCGTTATCAGCATTTGTTTTGTCACTGTCACAGTGCCTCGTGAACTAGGCCTAGACCTGACAGAAATCCCTGTTTCCATGGTAACCAGGGAGCAGGCTGAAGTCACCGTGCATTGATCAGGGAAATATATACCCACCTACTGTATCCTTTACTGTCACCGATAACCATAAGAACAGTGGCCTATATAGCCTTATATATACATACCTCATGTAAGGAGAATGAGGGGAATTTATCAAAACTGAAGCAGGCAGAATTTTCATCTTTCATTATCAGCATTATTAACAAACTGATTAGAGAAGCTGCTTGGCTACTATGGGCAACTGCTCCAGATTCGGTCTGCTCCAGTTGTGATAAATTCCCCCCGATGTACCTTCACTTTCACAAAAACGTAAAATTAGTATATCAATAGGTCTGACATATGCAGGAATATTCCATATGTGAAGAGCAGTGCAGCTGAGCATCCAATCAGAAATCTTCTTGTTTAATGGACATTGTGCCCTGTACCCAACAGCACATTTTGGATGTTGGGACAGTCATGTCATCACCCCAGTCACAGATCCAGTGAAAAATGCAGAGTTCATTTCTCACTTCATGACAGCTGGTGGAGCAATGCAAATACTTCCTTTTTGCTAATCGGGCAATAATGCTACCTGACACATGCCAAAATGAAGAGCATCCTGTTTAAATTCCATCTAAATGTCCTAGGTTTGATCATTATCGTCAATGAGAAATATGGGTACTGGGATTTCTTTGGGAGTGGGCCTTAAGTTAAAGCTGTGCCCATGCAGGCCTATGCCCATGTGTGTGTATGCCCATGCAGGGCAAAGCACCAGGTTCACTTGCCTGACCCACTGCTCTAAGGACGGATGTTCTATTTGCTCGCCCACAACAAGAAAGAGAAATACTGGGTATGAGGGAATGTGTGACTCCCAGTCCCTACCTTTCTTTTATGATGCAGAGTTGGGTGTCACATGTCCTTAGCTCTTTACTATAGAGACGTGGAGCCAGTGCCAGGACAAGGTCATTTAGCACACAAAATAAAGGGTCAAAGTGACCCCCTTCCTTCTGTTGTGAACTACTTCACTTGCACAGGTTGCAGGTCATGCTATTTTAGCGCCTCCTTCCTGCTGAAGTGCCCAAGGTGGCTGCTGCTTCTGCTTACACCTGGGCCCAGCCCTCCTTATACCTTACACAGGCCTTCTTCTCTTTGCTGTCATTGGTAAATGAGGCAGCAGGGGAGCGAAGCAAGGCAAACATAAATGAAAGGGGGGGGGGGGTTTAAAAAATGAACATGTTGATTTGCATAAATAATGCATAGGTTCACTTTAGGAAGCAGATTATGGTGACAATGGCTAACATGATCTCAAAGTCCCTACTTTAAGATTAAACCTTGAAAAAGTTAATTGACATGTCCACTTAGTCCCCTGAACTCAGTCAGTATTTACACTCTGTTTGCCTTTCTTCATTCCAGTGCTTCGTCTCTCTACCAATGCGGGACAGTGGAAAGAGCCGGCCAGCAAGGTGACCCATGCTTTGGTCAACATAAGGTAGGAGCACATAAAAGATTATACTGGAAATGACATAAAATATTTAAGGTACACGCATATATACAGTCCAATGCGCCAAACAAGATAGTATGAGAGTCCAAAAATGTTCAATAATAGAATGAATGCCACACACAAAAACACAGAACAGCCAATGCATCCAGGGGGCTCGAAGACCTTTCTCTTCCTCAGGGCTTAAACATGATATGTAGTATAATGGACTCAAAAATGATGGCACAAATCATCAGGGTTTATTTGCTGTGTGGGGTATAGCCAACATCAGTGATTCAGCAAAACTGCCTAAATAAAATATTAAAGGGTACTACATCTCCTAGCAGCCATTGCAGCACTTCAACTAGGAGGAGCTGTAACTGCAGGACTTCTCTAGGCCTTACCAATGCTTCCTTCACAGTGACAGTTCCTACATGTTATAGGAAGTTCTGGCGTGACTACGTCACTTAGTAGTCCAAAGAACCCTTCAGGGAGAGGGTGACAACACTGCTGAAAATGGAAAAGTGATCTTGCAGCATTGTCATCCCTCCACAGGATATGTTGTATGAAGGGACATACTAGCAGGACCAACAGATAAGAATGGAGGAAAGAAAGAGGGTTCCGCATTGGAGAATAGATGTCAATGTAGAGGAATGTGCTATTTACAGTGCTAAAACTGATTTTGCCTGAAAACACACTTTAATGCCGTACTCCCAGAACATCTGTAGGCTGTCATTTGTATGATATGGAATGCCGTTCGCACATATGTAAACCCGCAGCACGAGCGGAGAGGCAGATTATCGTGTAACGCCAGAACGGAAAGTTTCCGACAGATCATACCTTTCATCCTGATCAGCGGCACTCATGTTTGTTCCCGCTCCTCATTGCGATGTGCAGTCACGCTATTCTCTTAGCGGAGCTGTCTAATAACAGATGAACCAGTAGATTTTCCTGGATGCAGACTGTTCACAGTGATGATCTGGATTTATCAATTCCCCCGAGGCAGGCAAACGCTATAAATATTACCGCAGTGCCCGTATCTAATGGCCAGTCGATATTCCAGGCAAATTGTCTTTGGTATTTCAGCGGAAGATTATTTAGAATTGCTCGCCTTGTGCAGATGTAAACATCTGACTGAAGAATGACTTGAGATCAAAGCTGTGTTCTACGTCAATACCTAATTCATGATAATATGTAGAGTTATCTTTAAAGGGAACCTCTTTGTCATGTTATCACATTTAGCATATGGTGCCAGTTTTCTATCACCACTCTCGGAAGCCTCCCTAATATAACTGCTTGAAGACCAGGTGTTTAGATCCCCTACCTGGCCAGGCCATTTTTCAGTGTTCAGCGCTGCAGTACTTTGACTGATATTTATTCCGTCATGCAACGCTGTACTGAAATGAATTTTATACCATTTTTTTGGGACAGATAGAGCTTTCTTTTGGTGGTATTTAATCACCACTGCAGGTTTTATTTTTTACTATATTCAGGAGAAATTACTGAAAATTTTGAGAAAAAAAAAGTTTTTTTTTACATTATGTTATAAAACAACTAATATTACCCACTTTTTTGGTAAAATATAAAAGACGGGGTCACGTCGAGTAAATAGACACCAAACATGTCTAGCGTAAAAATTGCGCGCACCCGCAAAATCGCAAAAAACTAGCATACCCAAAATTGGCCATAGGCGACGCTTTAAAAGCTTTTACCGCTCATCAGTTTAGTGTTATCAGTGATTGATGGCCCTAGAACTATTGCTCTCATTCCGACGTTCGCGGCGATATGTAACATGTGCGGCGTAATGGGTGCAATCGTCGTTTTCGCAGGTATGCGCACCTGACGCATGTTTACATGCGTGTATGTAGGGGTGGGGACTTTAAAAAAAAAATTGTTTTTTTTAATTCTTTTTTGTGTAACTTTAAAAAAATTGGGGGGGAAACTTTAAATTTTTGTACTATTTTTTTTTTTCCACTTAACTTTATTGCTATCACAGAGGGGGCTGAGAAACCCCCTTATGTGATAGCAAAAGAGGTGACAGGTCCTCTTTATGGAGACATCAGGGGGTCTCCAAGACCCCTAATGTCACCTAGGACCCCCCTGAAGAAGCTGATGAAGCAGAGATCTGCTTCATCAGCTTCTCTCCAGCATCTGAAGCTGGAGAGTGACACAAGAATGCGGAAGTGATGTAATATACAACACTTCCGCATTCTGACAGCGGAGAGGGGACCGGAGGGAGCTCGTGTACCGAGCTCCCTCTGATCCCCTGTGACAGAGGCACTATGCTGGTCCCGGGCTCACACCGGAGCCCGGGACCAGCTTGACAGCGGGAGGGGGGGAGGGGGAGAGCCGCTGAGGGGGGGGCGCACGTCTCGGGGCTTCATACAAGCGATCCGCCGGCTCTATAGCCGGTGGATCGCTTGTATATTAACGGGCATCGCTGCCTCTTTTCAAATAGCGGGGATTTCCCGCTCGCGCGCGCCCGAGCAGGTGGATGTAACAGGACGTGTATACACGCCCAGTTACATCCAAGAAGCTCCCGGCAGGCCGTGTATACACAGCGGCTGGCCGGGAGGTAGTTAAAGTGACACTAAACTCAGGAATTAACCCTCAAAAATGCATTCAATTACCTTTTACTATTAACAAAAATGTATCTTATTTGTGTGTCACTCGGCTGTAGATCCTCAAATCATCTCTGAATTGGTGCTGACACTGTCCTTCCTTCTGTGTGTCCCTGTGTGTCTTGCAAAGTAGTCACCGCTCCAAGCTCACTCCCGGGATGGACTACAATCTCATGTTTAGTTTACTAGTTTGTACTGAGATTGTAGTCCATCACAGGAGTGAGCTTGGTGCGGTGACCACTTTTCAACACACACAGGGACCATAGGGAACAAAAGTCGCCCCCCTCCAGAAGGAAGGACAGTGTCAGCACCACTTGAGAGATGATTGGAGGATCTCCAGCCGAGTGATACACAAATAAGATACATTTTGTTTTAATGGGTAGGGTACTTTAATGTATTTTTGAGGTTTAACAAGTGTGACTTTAATATGCAAATTCCAACTGGTGAAACAATGTCACAGCCCTACCCTGTAACCAGTAATGCTCTGATCCACTTCTAATTGTCTTCTCCAGAGAACAGGGCATTTGTCATGTGGTAGGCAGGGTCAATTTAGCATTTTTAAGTCCCTGACCAGGCGCCAGCATGCACGTGAAGTCAGAACTCTTGTGTCCCAATCATTATTGAAGCCATTGGATCATGTTCTCACAAGTCATTCTCTCATGACACCAATAATGCATTTTGGGCTTCCGTCTCTCCCCCAAAGAAAGAGAGGGAAGTCAAAGCAAACTAGGACTCCTCAGGGAACAGTTGTTCTTTTTAGGCAATGAAGGATCTAATATACCCAAGACTTCAATAAAACAAAATGTCAGAGGAACACTCCGCATACCATGCTGTTTGATGATGCTTTTCCATCCATCTCCTTCAAGACCCTTGTGTGCCCGAAATGTGCCTATACATAAAGAAGAGCAATGCTCTGTGTAAGCCCAATCTGCATGTTCACCTCAATCTAAGTTTTGTGTAATCCACTGCAGCCTCAATCCAAAGATTTCACGGGGTCAGCGGGCATGTGCTTGCTAAAGCTTGTGCCTTTCCTCTTTTCCTACCTCCTCTTTTGCCACCCACATTCAAACTTCCAAAGCAGGTTTAAATTAAGTTGGTGGTGTAACCTCTTATTACTAAGGGTGGTCATGTACTGGATGTTTTTTTCTCATTCATCCCCACACACAGAAGCAGAAAAGACGCTTGGTTCCCCCCGTCTATGTTTAGCTCCCTGTTGGGCTGTTGTAGCCTAAAAGTCGGCACCCGCAGCTATCAGATTGGCTGCAGACACTGTCTGCCCGACAAATGTTCAACCCGGCTCCTTTGAACTGGGTTTTGCCTGGAGTGCCACACCAAGCTCGACGTCGGCAGGAGTTGGCCATTAATGTATTTTTGCATATCGGAGAGAGCAAGTGGTCTGCAGCAAATGTTTTCCTTGGACCAGAAGCAAGGGTTCCCCGACCACCAGATTGTCATCACCAGGGACTGCAATGGAGTCATGTACTGCAGCAATACCTGGATGATGAAAGAGAATGTAGAGAATGTATCTCAAGGTTCCATTTTTCAGCTTTAATTGGAGTGTATCTTTAATACCTCCGCTGCTGCCCGTAAATTGCCTTGTGAAAAGTTCTCTTGAACAGGCTCCGTTCTCGGGATGTGACAAGACTGTAAGCTTCAATGACTGATCCCAGGGGGGTTCTGTCAGCATAAAGAAAGCTCATTATTTTTATTTTTTTTCACTCTCTACCAGATGGGACACGGAAAGGTTAATCTTTTCATACCAGTTAAGTTTTCTCCGGAGACACGCTGGCATATCCTTGATGCTTTCATAATTTTTTTTATTGCACCTACATTCAGGCAAGCCGATAGATCATACAGAAAGATTCCCTGGCTGTCTACAAGCCATGCTTCCGTCATTACAGCATATGTGCTGCTGGTTTATGGCCTGTACACCCAGGTGTCACAAAGGGCCTCCTGCTGCCGATGCTCCTGTTTTCTACACCGTCCGATGTCAATGTTGCAAAGATTAAAGGTGTTTTAAATGCTTGCTTGTAATATTTTTTTCTTCCCCATGAATGATTTATTAATCACTTGCAAGAAAGGCACTTTGTAGTCATCTACTCTTCAAGCTTACCTATCTTTTAAAGAGGCCCTGTCACCAACTTAAAAACTTAGCTTAGAAAAGTACAGAAAAGTGTTTTAAGTGTTTTTCCTCGGCATAAATTAATTATTATTCACTTGTAATGCGCATTTGAACTTGCTAGAAAACTACTGCAGGAAGAGTCAATTCCATAGCATGTCCCTGACGGTCATCATAGCAGTCATAGCCCTCTTCTGGGAGCCCTCTCATATCATAGCCCTCTCATTGGAGCACTCACATATCGCCCACTTCTGGGAGCCCTCTCGTATCATAGCCTCTTCTGGGAGCCCTCTCATGTTATATCCCTCTCCTGGGAGCCCTCACATATCGCCCTCTTCTGGGAGCCCTTTCATATTAAAGCCCTCTCCTGGGAGCACTCTGATATCATAGACCTCTCCTGGGAGCTCTCTCGTATCATAGCCTCTTCTGGGAGCCCTCTCATGTTATAGCCCTCTCCTGGGAGCCCTTTCATATTATAGCCTTCTCCTGGGAACCCTCTTGAACCATAGCCCTCTTTTAGGAGCCCTCTCATATCATAGCCCTCTTCTGGGAGCCCTCACATATCATAGCCCTCTTCTGGGAGCCCACTCATATCATAGCCCTCTTCTGGGAGCCCACTCATATCCAAGCCCTCTCCTGGGAGTGTCTAATTACTGTCTGTGCTGCCCCAGCTCTTCCACTCCTCTCCCTTCATAAACTTTTGTGCCTGCTGGGCCTGCTGACATCACATCCAAGTCTTACCGTGTATAGTGTTTGCTATGGGGTCAGCTCACTGATGTTTGGCTAATGCTCTGAAAATTGTGGCCTGTAAAAGCCAAGAGTTACTCAGACCACTAGACTCCACTGATAGTGAAATGTCACCAGCTTTGGAAAGGATCCTTTAATAAGCTAAGATTGCTCAAATCCCCCCAGTGACCTTTTGTTATGGGTCAGCGACTTACTAACATTGCAGTCAGTGTAACTTCATTTTCTTTATTTGATACAATAATTTCCAGCTCTTCCGCCTGTCAGCGCCTTGCCGCCCGGTCCGGAAATCGCTTACCGAGCGTACAGTCCTTAATTGACACCGCTGATTTGTGAATCTTGTCAAGTGTCACGACCAGTCAATTAGAATGTTCACCGAACTATGTTGGAATGTTAATGACCTCTGACACGTTGTCAGCCTGTAGAAATCTGCGTCCAACCATGTAATGAAAGATCTTTAAACTTACATGATTCCTAGGAAGACCGTGCAAGACCTAGGAAGACATATACTGCACAGGAGCCTCGCAAAGTAGAACTCCAGCCTGATACTTAAGATGACAATAAACTTAGGAGTTGAAGCTTAAAAATGCATCCACGGACCTTAACTATTAACAAAAATGAATCTTATTTGTGTATCACTCGGCTGTAGAACCTCCAATCATCTCTGAATTGGTGCTGACACTGTCCTTCCTTCTGGAGGGGGGCTACTTTTGTTCCCCATTTCTGGCTTCAACCCCACTGGGGAGATTTCCCTCACTTCCTGTCTGCGACATCCATACAAGAAAAGTTCTCACCCTTCTAAAAATCCCTGTTGCAAAGATTTCCCATCACTTCCTGTCCTGACCCGGAAAACACCATATAGTTGGTAAAAAAGTGTTCTCCACACATTGGTGCACCTCCTTAGCTGACCCCCTTTCAAAACCAAATGGGGGCTCATCCTACGCCCCGAACTGGCAGAAAATCCAGAAGAATGAACGCTGGCGGCGCTTCATTAAACATATTACTTTATTATTCCATACAGGTAAACGCAAAGCCCCTCCACTGGCGTGTTTCACCCAAAACTGGGCTTAATAGTAGAGATCACATCAAAGGAGGTCCCAGGTGTTGCTTCATGTATGCCCATCCGGAACAATAAAGTTACACTTGCATTGGATTTTACCGGATTGCCGCCGGCTTCCTTTTACATTTGCTTCCCATTATAGTTGGTGTTTCCATCATCATCATTTCTCATCACTCTTGTTCTTGCCATACACAAAACGAGTCTCTTTGATTTGCTATTGTAGTCGTTTCACATACTGCATTGCCTCCGCGCGCACTTATTTATTGCTTTATTTCGTTGATTAATTGATTGCGGCGTAGAATTGCATTGTGCATAGACGGAGCCTGTCTTCATCCCATGCGTTTTCATGCACCGCGGCCCACGTAATTGCATTCATGCCGGTTATGAAGATATTAGTTATGTCGTTGTCAGGTTTGTGAATTGTTTTCATTGTCTGCAGGAAAACAATGTTATGACTCCTTCATTTAGGCTTTTGTTTTGCATGTGTGAGATCAATGAAGTGATCTGTCAGACTCTTTGGATTGCCTGACATCTTTTTAGATTAAAGCTGAACTGTGTTTGTATGTCAAGGAAACGTATAACACGCGGGATATCCTCTTATGGCGTTCCGTGCCTTTAACTGCCCGCGGTGTGTGCACACGCATTGAAACTTTAGCCAATGGGTGGCCATTTATTCTTTAGATCCCAAGCACCATACAGCAGGGGTGGGCAACTCCCGCCCACCCGCTGTGATTTAACTACAAATCCCAAAATACCTCTGGGAGTCATGCTTGTGGCTGTCAGTTTTGCAATGCCTCATGGGACTTGTAGTTCCACAACCGTTGGAGGGACGGAGTTGCCCACCCCTGCCATACAGTGTAAGCTTTTCCTTCTTTCCCGCTGTATATCTTAAAAAGATCTTATTCATTTCAGCAGAAATCTTCCCATAAGATTTATTGGGGGAATTTATCAAAACTGGAGCAGTTGCTCATGGCAACCAATCGGCTTCTCTCTTCAGTTTGCTCAGGTAAGATTTGAAAATGAGAGAGAGATGCTGATTGGCTGCAGTGCATATCTGCTCCCGTTTTGATAGATCCCCCCCAATTGTGTTTTATCCATATTCATTTTCTAAAATGTTAAAAAAAATTCAATGCAATGTGGAAACCTGGAGGCGGCTGTACACAGCTGGTGTACAGAATACCCCCAGAATACTAGTGAGATACGTCCAAAGGGTTAATTACTACTAAAGGGATGCTGACACTGCAACTTTCCTCATTAGGACACAAAGTCCACAGCCTGACTATAATGAACCCAGACCCTCCCATTCTGGAAAGGACATGGTAAAATAAACAGATTTTTCTTTTAGAACAGAAGCAGGTAGAATCTGCAACAAAGTTTGTTAAAAAAGTTTGTTTTTTTCCTCAACTACAGTGGAGTTACTCTTTAGCATTTTATCTTTGCTGATTCAATGCTGAAATAAGTCTGCTGTTTAAGGAACTCACTACAGAGACTCATCCCTTATCAGACAGCTTCATAGGAGGCTTCAATCAGACAAGAAGAGCTGCACAGCAAGCAGCGGGTGCTGTCCCTTTAGCTAACTTATAGTGCTCTGGGAATCCTTTTTCCTAAAACTCTCCCTTCCGCTCTCCCTCCCTTCAATGACTCTTCCCATATCACACGGCTCTTGCTGAAGTTTCAATTCGACAGCAGAGTCTCAAAGCAAGTTGTGCGTGCTGTACTGTCCTTTCAGATGACCCACAGTGCTCTGGGAATCCTTTGGCATGTATGGCTAAAAGAACGACTCTTTCTAAGATATGCGTGTGTGTGTATACAGACGTTTACACAGTGTGTATATAACATATAATAGTATTACATACACATATAATGTAATGTGTAATGTTTGGTATAAATACAGATCTAAAAAGTTTACAAATGTATAAAAAAAAACTAAAACAAGTCTAACCCAAAACAATTGTAGCTCCTTTTCAACTATATGAAGTATTGTCTGTTAGAAGACATGGATGTTTCTTCTTAAAGTCTGATTTGCTTTAGTGGCATTTTTTTTTTTGCCCCCTTTGAATCTGAGAAATCCTTAACCAGGTATAATGGCACCCGGGTCTCCCAGAGATGTGTGCTGCCCTTTCCAGCTGTGGATGTGGCATGCAGCGAGACTACACATTTAATTTTGTCTCGGCTGCTCCCGTGCTGGCTCCCCTGCCTTCCCTCTCGCTGCTCTCCTTCTCTGTATAGCCAATTATTATTTTTTGAACTGGGATTGGAAGCCTCCAGGGCATACAGCCATATATACTTAACGCCGACTCCCCCTGCAAGTATCAAAACAGCGGAGGGAAGCGATACCCCCTAATCTCAGACCGAGAAGATAGACATGCGTATTAATATAAATTGCTGTGCTTCTGTTTTCTTCCAGGGCCATTATAAACCACTTTAATCCTAAGATCGAGTCCTACGCCGCCGTGAACCACATTTCGCAATTAGCCGAAGAGCAGGTAAGGCAAAAAAAAAGGAATATGTAAATAAAAGGTTTTTTTTTCTTTGCATTCTTTTCATTTGCTGAATTTCAGGCATATTTTAATATGATTTCTAGTAATGCTTTTAGTGCAGGCACTATTGGGCAACGATCCCTGTGGTTATTGACAAAGATCAAAGCGCGTTCAGAAGGCAGCGAGCATATTTAAAAAGAATTTGCCTTTGTTAGCTGGAGCGTTCACAGAATTCGGTTTGCGCTTTTGTATTTGCAGTACAGATGAAGCTTAATTTGCTTGTATTTTGCCTTCCCTGGTTTCTCCCTATCAACTCCCCCGTGAACATGCTAATGGCATTTTTAAATAAAACCGTTCCATTTTCATTACATATCTTATTTTTTACCCAGTGATATCAGCACAGAGTATCTATACTTCCCTATGCAATGCAGATAGACCCTGGATGGTAGAAGGGGCTGGCAGAGTGCTGTGCACATCCACCTTCTTACCAATTGCATATGGTTGTACACCGTACGCATATGCAAGTGGCGGCATAAATCCACATATAAAAGCTGCCTATACTCACTCACTACTATTGGGAGCTAGACGCCACAGCTGGCTATCCCAGGCACAGAAATATGCCTGCAATCTACGTTCATATACAGTGCAGTGGGAGCACCAAACAAGGCAGCATGAGAGCCCCAAAATGTTTAATAATTGAATAGGCTCATAAACAAAAACACAGAAAGGCCGACGCGTTTTGGGGACTCAAGGACCACCCCTTTCTTAAAGGAGAACTATGGGGTTAGGACTTTTCCCCATACTTCTCTCTCACTGTATACTGAGACGCCGCCGCTGAAACGGATCCTGACAATTATGTCTGGATCCGCCCAACTACGTGAGTGACAGCTGGCTCTACCTATCTAAAGGCAGAGCCAGCTGTACCTGTCCCCAGTGCACACAGCATTAAAGGAGAACTATGAGGTGGTGAATTCCACTCATGCTCATAGTTAGAGCCGACCTGTGATAAAGAAGCTGTCCCACATCGGCTCTATTGATCGGGAAATGAGCAGAAACATGCCGCCGATCCGCTCACTTCCCGATCGTCTACCTGTAGTGTGCAGTGACTGTCAGTCACCGCTCCCCGCAAGGATTCTCCCCCCCCCCCCCCCCCCCCCC